TTTTAGTCTAAAACAAATTTGAAATTTTGAGCAGACTAAAGATACACCCTACCTCATTGAAATATTGGTTCAAAAGAAAGCAATGGTGCCAAGTCTGTTAAAAGGGGTGATAAAGCCACTAGGGTGACTTTCTAAGCTTCTTATTGGTTATTCAGTCATATATAGAAGTAAGTGTATATATGGGAGTCTTTCCAAAAATAGAAAGAGGTGGGCAGGGTGTCACTGTGTTTATTACACGAGTAATATCTTAGGAAACTGAAAAGATAAGAGGCTCTTATTTTATATTCTAGCTTGTCAATATTGTTCATTTGAGTTTCTAATTCATTCTAAATTATAGATTTAATATTTTGACTTCACATACATCTAATTCAAACCAGTGCTGCATTCAACATACCAAGTGACATACAAAAATCAATGTTTCTCTGTGTTTTTTTAATATTTGCTTTTACATTAAGAAATGGAGTAATATTGTTACGACAGAGGAAGTCATGTGATGCTGGCAACACATGATGTGAAGATAATTAGCAACAATGAGAGCATCTATTTAAGTTTGCACTTTTCAGTAAAATTTGTATATGCTGTTTGCAATTCTTTATGTCAAACCTGGAGATGTATGTAAGTTCAAGAAGATATCTACAATGAGTTGTTCGCTACACTATTAAAAATAATACTGTTAAACTATTAAGGAGAATTTAAAATACAGACTAAGGTGTTTCTATCCAAAATAACTTGTATCATTACATCCACAATTCTGCAACATTTTTGCACAGTGACACTTAAATTATGTATGCATATATAAACAAGCACCATCTACTTTGAATTTGTTAACCTTGTTTTTTTTTCTTTTTTAAGCTGGTAAATAATAAAACTTTTTTCCTTCTCCTTAGATGTAATATGAACAATAACAAACTACCATTTATTTATGATGTTAGAAAAACATGTAGGTTCAAGAAGTTTTGATAGAAATGAATAAAAACCCTATAATCCGAGCACTTTTGAAAGGTGGACCTTTATACTTCTTCAGCAACAAACTGGGAATGGGAATTACCATTTATGTCATCACATATAATATCTACAGAATTGGCTGATGACAGCAAAGTGTTATTAATGTTAGCTGTTCAGATATTACACAGTTATATACAATCATAATTGTTTACAATAAAATTGCAAAATAAATGAAGTGTAAACTTCTACGTGCATCAATTTCTTAATTTTTTTGTGAATAAAGTTTAAAACCAGAAACCTTAAATATGGAATAGCATAGTCATTCAAGTTTTAAATACCCCCTTTTTCATCCAAGTTCTAAGTTACTGTGAAAAATACAATAATTGCAATTAATTCTGTGACAGTCATATCACAACAACAATGTTCATTACACCTACCACTACACCGAAACTATATGCAGTCTCACACAACCTACGTATCCTAAACTTACATCAAAATCTTTTATAAATTAATTTCAACTTCAAAATGAATTTTAACTAGTCATTTGTTATTGCAACAAAAATCAACATAAAACAATTTAAGTTTTATACATTCTGTAATATTATTTTTAAGCAATGAAGTAACATAAAAGCCACTTTGTTTTTCTTGAATTTTGTGCAAAACTACTCAAAAGCTATCTGTGCTAGATGTTCCTTATTTTGAAATGCTAGAGGGAAGGCAGCTAGTTAACACCACCTATCATCAACTCTTGGTCTACTCTTTACTAACAAAAAGTGGGATTTACCATCACATTGGAAAGCCCTCACAGCTGAAAAAGCAAGCATGTTCAATGACAGGATTTGAACCCACAACCCTCATATTGCAAGTCAAGTGCCCTAATTACCAGGCCAACACCAAAGCTAATTTGTTCTTTTCATATATACACAGTGGTTTTCTGAACCAACAATATGAGGCAAAATGAAACTGTTCTCTCCCAAAAGAAATTATAAGTAGTCCTTTTTATTCTATCAAAAAAAGTTTAAAATATTGAACAATCCATCCTTTTCTTTCACAAAAATTATAAAATATTTTGGCAAAAATTACTAAGGCAAAATGAAAATTATACAGCATTTTTATTAATACATATATCTCATAAAAAAAAAAAGGAAATTTATTTACCTGAGTCTTTATATATTTTGTACCATGCTCTCGACTGAACATGTGATCTTTTAGGTCCCTGCTATCTTCAAACACCATGTCACACAAACTACAGAAACTCTCTGATTTTTGGTTGTGTTTCTGAGCATGACACTGAAATGCTGTAACATTGCAAAAGGTACGTTTACAGTCACTAATAATACACTGAAATCTTTTCTCTAGTTTGTGGACATTGTACATGTGCATGTAATAGAGAGGATAGCTTTGGATTACTATGTCACATAAATGGCAGTAATGGCCAACTTTTTTAGGGAAACATAGCTCAGCCAACTGTTTATCAGTTGGCACATCCTTGATCAAAATTAATTCATTTTTCTTAGTATCTTGTTCATCTCCAATTTTTTCTTCTATACTAACATCAAATGATGATTCTTGTAGTCCATTCTGCTGAGTTTTCAGAATATCTGCATTTGAAATATGATCCAAAACTTGACTCCTACATTCCTCAATGTCTGACTCAACATTTTCTATAGTCTCATATGAGAAAGTTTCTGTTGATTCTTCATAACTCTGATTTGTTGAAACTTCTGCAGTTTGTGAAACTCTCTCGACTAAGTTTCTGTCGTCTTGATCATCTGCTTTCGAACTCAATAATGTACTGAATTCCAAGTTCAAACCTCCATCCTCCTCCTCTTTATCAGTTGAAGCATCCTTTTCTGTGCTGTTAACAGAATTCTTATTTTCCATGGCTGATGATGAAACAAGGAGGATATCATCTGCATTTGTATTTGACTGCAATAGTTTATTTGAATCAATATAGTCATTGGAATTATCAAAATCAGCCACATTGTTTGACTCTTCATGAGCTTTATTACTAACAGCATCTGAAATTGATAAAGAAAATTAGTAACATTTTTAATTTAAACTTCCAGCTAAATATAATCTACTGTATAGTTTATCTGAAACTACATCACATAAAGATTGATAACAATTTTTGCCAAATATTTTTTTTCCATTGGTGATATACAGGTTTCTAGTAAGAAGAATATAAGTGTATAGTTGAAATGCTAATATACTTTTCTTGCGGGAAAACCAAAATTTGATAAAAATTATTATCAGTCTTATTGTGAAGAATATCATACAAACTATCAATCAACAGACCATGCTTTGTCAGCACAAGTATTATATACCATAATAACTTGTACATCATAAACAACTGATACAAATAGTATTTCAATTGAGGCCTTGTGTGTGTGTGTGTGTGTGTGTGTGTGTTGTAAACCCAGTCACACTGATGGGTCACCCCAAGAGTTTGTGCTGTCAGTGATGTGCAACACACAGTGTGCACAGTTGAAATGCTTATATATTCTTATACTAGAAACTCATATAGGAGCAGTAAATCTAGATTTGATGAACACTATCATCATTTTTATTGTGATGTAATATCAAATAAACAACCAATCCACGACCATGTTCAGCCAACATAGGTGTTATGTACTCTAAGAATTTCTATAATCCATGGCATTCAGTTTTAATTACGGTACAACACTACATCTGTAACAAAATTTTAAAATATACAAAAACAATGTGCATGTCGAGAACAGAAGTTAGATGAATCTGAGTTTCTATACACATATAGATCTACATAGATCTTTCCTCCAAACTAACAATAGGCAATTGAAGGTTCAAACTTTATAAAAAATTGTAGACAGAACAGCACGATGCATAAACTTAAACATACCTTTTAGTAAACATGTGTGAAAAAATGTATACAGTCGAACAATATTGCATTACTTAAGGTTTGTTTGATTTATTAATGAGAAAAATATCAGTAAAATTATAATAACGTGAAATTATAATAAAATTTTAAATGTGAAAAATGATGGTCAGTACAATATGTGTTAAAATCATAGGAAGGAGAAGCATTCATTTAAGCTGTTTGGCTGAATACTACCTAATATATGAATTAGTTGATATTCAAGGTGTTCTCTTTTATTATATCAGAAGATGCATACTTGAGCCCCACTACAGAAAATTGATGTCATGTTTTATACTACTAAAGTGGTGTCCCCAAAGATGGTTTCCATAGCATTTTCTTAGGTTTTCCTCTCATAAACCATAAAAACTACATTTTTTACCATGGATATTAAGTTTCTTTACATTTCAGTATATCAGGAGAATGGACTTCTCACACTGAAATACTTTGTAGACCTCAGAGAGAGAGAAAAAACATACCTTCTACACACACTGTCTAGCTGAACTCTAACCATGTTTTCATTCATTAGCAACCATTATAAACACATTTGTATTGTTGCTTTGGGGAAAAGAAAGTGAACCAATATGTGTAATTTTGTCAGTTATGTTGAAAAAAAAATGTTTATCAGTACATCATGGAACAACCTACTATATACTGCACCTTGATTAATGATGTTGTTAATATAGCTTCAATGTGTATAGAAAACCTAGAAAAAGTTGTACAGCACATCGGCTGTTTTAACCATCCTTCAATTCATCTATACAATTTCCAGTGAAAAACTTCCACTTCTATGTATTAAAGTCCATCTTGGTAATAATCGTATTGCTACTATTATATATTATAAAACAACTGACTCTCATTCAAACTTATATTTTGATTCTTCTCATCCATTCAACACTACAAAATCCATCCCTTACTCTCAATTCCTAAGTCTAAGCAGATTATGCAGTGAATGACTGAGTTTTTCACCGTAAAAGGCTACATCAAATGTGATATAAGGTGTTGTCTTGAAGAGAGAAAATATACCTCATGAAACATCCTTTTTATCAGAAAGGAGAAATAAAGACTGCATTCCTCTCACTCTGACAGATCATCATATCAATATAAAAGCCCAGATTCTACTCATGGAGAACTAAAACATACTCAAAGATCATGCTACCTATAATATCCTAGATATGACACCAATTGGTATATTCCACTGTCTCATTTGTTATAAAAGGTTAGGGAAAGATTTTTTGCTGACCAACAGTCAGTATCCAATTATATAAAACTGACATTTAGTATTTACAAAGTGACCTGTCTTGTCTGTGTTTTAATGGACTATTATTTTGTAAAATACAGTCACA